GGTATTTACCTATATTTCCCTAATAAAACTGAACTGAACTGAACTGAACTGCTAATCAACGCAGTGTGGCCTCGCCTGTCGTAATCTCTCGGATAGGCTTTTGGCCAGGAGACATCATATCGTCTGTTGTATTTAACTCCGACATTAATAGCACTACCGAGAATGCTGCATTCCTTTCTGGCGGAATCAAATTTGTGCGAGGACGTTCCCTGACCGGTTCGGCTCTGGTGACATATTGGACATATATAAGCTCTTCTGATAACAGTGGGAAAGTTAGATTATTATTATTGAAGGGCATCTTGAACTTGGAGTAGACTAAGCACCCACGATTGACGTCTGCAAACATGACACTCCGCAGTTTCAGATATCTAGGGATGATATTTTCATCCAGCAGACATTGCCAGCCAAGCTGATACCACTTTCAACGTTTTCGCAAGTCTTCACAGGTTTCTAGGCTTCATTCACGACATTGTGATTGCCGCTGGACTCCGCCCATAAGCGGCATCCGTGCGGTCACACCTTCAACCTAATGGGAGCTCCGCGTTTTAAATATCTTGCTTTTATCTTATTGCTTACGTCATCTTTTATCAGTACGCGCATTTTCCTTAACTTGCACTAACTTCAGTCTTCCGACAGTACCGCAAGGATTGGCTTCTTCTGATACCGGGCTTTGCTTGGTGCTTATCCAACACCGTGCCCGTTACAATTGCGGCCGTCCTTGTTACACTTTTGTCGGTATGTTCCAATCTTTTCTGTACAACAAAAACCAAAATAAGCCGCTTGCACTTCTTTATTTTTAAGTTATGTTTCATCGAGCTGGCTTTACACTGTCTCCTTTGTTTCATTTTGTATTGATTGTAGGCCTGTAAACTTCTCCAACACGTTAAATAAAAAACGCAAGACTTACGTGGCGTAGAAGGCCCACTTTTTTTTTATGAAGATAGCCCCTCATTGACCGATTTGCCTGTGCTGTTAGGTTTACTGTCTGAAAACACAAATAAAAAAAAGCTTTATCTACCTTACGATCGGCAATGCCAATAATTCTGCGAAAATTCCCGTGTTACGATTGAAAAGTCGTTTTGGCAAACAACTGTTTTCGATCACTCATCATGAGGCCTTTACATTGACATAGAAAATAAATT